AAAATCATACTACATACTTAATTCTGCACCTCTGCTTCATTAATTTGGTTTCCTACATCTTTCACATTTTTTACAATTTGAGGGTAAAAAATGTGTCCCCACCCATTTAAGCCTACAGGCAAAATTTCTGGTGACTTGTGAATTTGGGTAGAATTTCTGGTCAGTCTGACCATGGGGTAAAATTCCTTCCTGACACCAAATATGGCAATTGGTCTGACCATGTCATCTCCAGCTTTGCTTCCAGCAGGAGGATTGACACACCCCAATTGAAGTCCCAGCCTCAGCTGTAGCCAACACCCATGGTATCACATAGACATAGCTACACCGAGATCATCCCTGAACAGTAGCTGTCCAACTTCTTCTTGAACACCTCCAGTGATAAAGAGTTCACAGCTGTCTATTCCACTGCTTCACTGTTCTCACAGTGAAAAAGTTTTTTTCTGGATATCCCATCTAAATTTACTTTGCTGCAATTTCAAACCATTGATCTGTGCCTTCCTTTCTACAGCAAGAGAGAAAAGGGGCTTTCCCTCTTTATGGCAGCCCTTCAAGTATTTGAAGACTGCTATCATGTAGCCTCTTAAATGCCTTTTCCACAAGCTGAACATGTCTAGAACCTCTCATTTGACTTGCCTTCCAAGCCCTTCATTATCTTTGTTGCCCACCTCCTGACCCTCTCTAACCTCTCCAAGTCTCCTACCCTGGAGGTCTTTAAGAAGCGGCTTGATGCCTACCTGGCTGGAGTCATTTGAGCCCAGTTTTCTTCCTGCCCAGGCAGGGGGTCGGACCTGAAGAGATCCTGCAAAGTCCCTTCTGACCCTACTTCTATGATTCTATGAAGTCCTGTTTAAAATGTGGAGCCCAGACTGTGCACACTACTCCAGATGAGGCCTAACCAGTGCTGGGTAGAGAGGCACTATCACCTCCCATGACCTGCACTGAGGGATGCTTCTATTGATGCATCCCAAAACCACATTTACCTTTCGTGTGGCTGCATCACACTGCAGGCTTGTACTGAGCCTGTGATCTATCAAGATTCCTAAGTCCTTTTCTGTAGTGCTGCTGTCCAGCCAGGTGTCACCTATTTTGTATTTGAGTTTTTGATTATTGCTCCTGAGATATAGCGCCTTGCATTTGTTCTGTACACTGAACTTCATTGTTAGCTCTAGCCCAGCTTTTCAGTCTTTTGAGATCCTTCCAAACTGTGCTCACATCCTCCAGTATGTTTTCAGTCCTTCCCAGTTTCATGTTATCTGCAAACTTTCTCAAGAAGCTTTCTGTGCCATTATCCAAACCTTTTAATAAATATGATAAACAGGACTGGGCCCATCTGTCCACCTTGTAGTAGTTTTATCCAGCCCACATCTCCAATTTATGAGGTCATGTGGGACTTTGTCAAAACTTTGCTGAAGTCCAGATAAACAATATCCACAACATTCCCTTCATCCACCCAAGTAGTTACTTTGTCAAGGAAGGAGATCAGGTTTGTTCAACACAATTTGTTCTTTATAAATCCAGGCTGGCTCCTTGTGGTCAGCCTTTTCTCCTCCAGATGCTTGTAAATGGCCTTCCTTAGAATATGCTCCAGTGACTTCCCAGGTATGGAGGTGAGGCTAACTGGTCTGTAGTTCCCCAGATCCTCCTTGCCTTTTTTCAAAGAGGGGCACAAGTCAGGTGCCATTTGACTTAAAAAGCTGCATGTATTTTTTGAGGCAACAAGCTGCTCTGAGGGAGAATTAGTAATTAGCAAACATTCAAGAAAATATAGCTAATAATGTAAAACCTCTCTTAGTCATGGTTTCAGTTGTTATGTATTGTTCTATTCTGTTTGTATCTTGTATCTTTTCAGCTCCCAGTAGATTTTTTTTTTAAAGCCATCTGATTTTGCCTTTAAAAGCATCTTGTGGAAAATGAGATTCTTTTGGTAACTTCCTGCCAGCTAACGCATTTCATTGACTGCAGACTTCCCATACGGCAACAAGTAGTGACAGAGGTCTCCGTAACAATGGGTGTCAACTGGATAGACTTGTTCCACTTAAGTATCATTTAACTGAAACTGGGAAATTTGTGATTGCTTTTTCTCATTTGGAACAGAAGGCAGAGACACTTAATGGGGAAACTTTACAGGTCACTTCTGTACTATGAGAAGTTAATCCAATTGCCAAATCAGCTTAGTAAATTTGAAGAAAAAAAATCCTCGAGCTTCTCCTGGTACAGGGGACAGGTAAAGAAGTCATTAAAATCTGAAAAACATTTTGACATTTTTCCCTTTTTAAAAAATCATTAGAATTGGGTTATACTTGCAGTTCCTTAATATCGCATTATGTACTGGTTGTATTTTAAATTACTGTGTTTGCAAATGTGTGGATTTTGCTACTGAGAAGAGCTGGTTTATCTTTTGGTACATTAGTCAAAGGCTTGAAAACTCAATATAATGTCCTCGGTATTTATGTAGATCAAGAGAAAGGCCAGTGATCCTGGTCACTTAAATACCCGTAAAAATAGGATATAAGCTTAATGATTGTGAGACTCAGAAACATGAAGGATAAAATAGGCTTTGTCTGTCTGAATAAGACTTGTTCATATATTTGGTTGGAGAATAGTTATTAAGCAAGCTTTCGGGTTCAAAAACCCTTTGTCAGGCTCAGGAAGCTGCAGCAGTTGGTGTGTGCTCTTCCTGGATGGAAGACTTTTCATTCCATCCAGGAAGAGCACACACCAACTGCTGCAGCTTCCTGAGCCTGACGAAGGGTTTTTGAACCCGAAAGCTTGCTTAATAACTATTCTCCAGCTATTTGGGTTGGTCTAATAAAAGATATCAAATTCACCCAAGGAACCTTGTCTGCCTATATCCTTAGACCAGAGCTTTCCAAACTGTGTGCCGCGACACATTAGTGTGTCGGCGGCAGTGTGTAGGTGTGTCGCGCGAAATGCAGAAAATTTTGCGGAAGGGCACCGCGGAGCTCCCTTACTCGCATCTGCTTCCCTTGGCCCCTCCCCCGGAACTTCCTAAAGCAGCTAACTGAATTACTGTGTCGCGAAATGATGCATGTCTAAAAAGTGTGTCACCAACATGAAAAGTTTGGAAAGCTCTGCCTTAGACCAACACGGCTACAACCTAAACCCTTGTTCATGTATGGCACTTTAAGCCCATTTTGCATTTAAAACTTCAAGTATAGAATTTTCTCCACTACAGCAGTGACTAATTCACATACCACGTGGTTTTGTGTCCTGCATAGTGTTCAGTGTCTAGATCAGCCCTTATGGCATGCTAGCTCACTTAGGACATGCATAACGAATGGTTTAATCCTTTTAGGCTTGCGTTTTTTCAAATCAATTTGAAGCATTCCATCAGGAGGCTGAAGTTTCAAGTCTATTGTATAACGTGGCCAAGCTTCATCAAGCTGCATGCTGTCACACTGACCTTGGAAATATGTAGCATCCCTCTGGAAAGAGTTTCTAAATATGTTGTTCTACTGTTTAGATACATGTTTTCCATTTAATATATAATTATAAAGTACCATCATACTGAGCCTTTGTTACCATTTACCCATTATTTGCTGTTTCATGAATAAGGATGCGTGCAAGGTGACACCAAGTCTCATGGGACGGAGGAGGGTAGTGGATTTTGAAGGAAGCTGTTTTTTAACAACTGCTTCCAAATACAGATGAGTCTTTTCTCACAAGGATCCCAAGGTGCTTTACAAACTGTCATGGACGTACAAACTATACCCAGAGCTTTTTCTCCATCCCTGAAGTGCAGCTGACTCCGGGTTGGGGCTCCAGGCACAGAGGGCTGCCCAAATGCAACTTGAAGCGCCTGGGTCAGGTTGCAGGCACGGGGGAGGAGGGCTGGGATATTAGAACTGCAGACTGCAACCAGCTCAGAAGGACACCTTGCCCTCCCCCTCCCCACCACACTTGGAGCCCTAACCTGGAGCTACAGCAGTGGTCAGATTCATGCTTCCATTTCTGCACTGGTGGCAGCTCCAGCCCAGAGTGAGAGAGCGAACAAGAGAGCACGCCCAGCATACTGGAAGCAGCCCCAGCCACCTAGCATCAGCCAGCTGTCAGAGCCAGAGCTGCCACCCATCCATGCACTTGGTGGGCACCTGCCCACATGCCAGATCCAGTCCATGTGCCATATTTTGCTCACCTCTGGTTTATATGGTCTAGTATGACTATAGATTAGGGGGGCCCAGATGCGAAGAATAGCTTCGGTGGTGGTCTAGTTACAGGGCAATTAAGGATTCTGCCACTGGGGCTGCAGCATACTCTAAATCTGCAATGGGATACTTGTTTAATCACAGAATAAAAGCTGTTCCTCACTTCCAAGTACTGCTTGCAGAACC